ACTGGATATCATGCTCTACTGGATATACCTTTCCATACTTGAACACATTCGTACTTCTACTAGATACTATGCTCTACGTCTTTAACATATCCCGGAGCACTAGGAAAGGCCGCGAGTAGAAATCTCGGGAGTAAGGGGGTCCGGCATTAGTTTCTTAGAATCATTGGGAGGAATGCCAGGTCTTTGTCATCATTATCATTAGGAATTATAAATTTACACTTTAAATTCGGATGTACTTTTATCTATTGCTCTCAAGTGCTCATGCGCATGTCAAAAGTGATGTACCCCATACCATGCTTACCAAATAACATAACATAAATAAATTCTTCAGCTGCAAGACATCGAAACCTTTCACCTTTGTTTTTCTTTGGATGCCTCCATCGGTTGATTACCAAACTCGTCGCCAAAAGAGCAACGGAAATCAAGGCTACTACTATCCACAGCCAGTGTCGAGAATGATGGGACACATCCTGGCTAGGTTCATGATATGTTTCTCTGACTTTACTTTCCTTCGTTAGAGGTTGGCTGTTCGATCCCAACGATTTCCCTGTGAAAGTATCAGTTCCCGTAAAAAATGGCTAATATATCAGAGATGTTTTAAATATCCCGTTTGAAATTACAGTGACACATGGTCGAGGTAGCGAACTGAACGTTAAGCGTCACTGTATGCAAAGAAAAGCGCGCAGAGGTTCTTAACACTTGCTGTTTTTTCTTATCCCAGTGTATCTGGTTTCCTGAAAAATTTATGAATTATTTTCTACCAGCTTTTCACTTCTCCCATGAACATCTAAAGAAACGTGAGATTCAACAACCCCCCTCCCCACCCCTCCATCTCAGTGCCTCCCTCGCGGACCCAAGACCACCCTACCACCCTAGGGCGGATCCAGAAACTATTGTCAGGGGGAATCCAAACTTTGATTCAGAAAACACAATATAATTTTTCTTACTCGCAATAGGGTCCAACAGACAAAATGGGGAGAGAAAACTCTTTTGGATCATTTGATTTGATCTTTTAGGTCATTTTTTAATTATACTTTATGCTGAATAGTAACATGCAATCCTGCCGTTGCAAGAATTTTGTTGTCGTACAAGTAGTAAAATCAGATCTGATAGAGAGGAGATCGTGATCCCCGGACCCTCCCCCTGGATATGTCAGGGGAGTAAAGGGAGCTAAGATTGTGTTGCCAAGGGTGGTCACATTAGCTGGCTACTGACACGGAACAAAATTGAGGAAGAGAGAGTCAGTTAAGCCTTACATCGCCTCCACCTGGTGGTATGATTCTGATAGGATTCTGTGCTGTTTTCGTCATCCATTCCATGATTGATGAACATGGCCTTGACGCTCTCAGAAGGTGAAACAGGCGATGCTACACGCGTTGTCGTTGCATCTGTTCTGTTTGGACGAATTTTTTGTAGTGTATGACTTGGATAGTTCTGATCATCTCCCTGCATTTCAAAATTTGTCGGTGTTTTAAAGGAGGAAACAGATTTTTCTGTCGGGCGAGATGGAGGTCGACGTTTGGAAGGAATATCCGGTCGGGGTGTAGGGCTGATGATTTCTCCCGCGGGAGAAGTGATTGATTTCTCGACGCTCCGTGATGACGATGGTGAGCCATAAAAAGCAGAACTAACCAAAACTGTTCCTTGGTCTACTGCACTACTGGGCTTCGTAGAGAAGAAAACATTTGAAGGCGTTGGATCAACAGAAGGCATTACAGATACAAAGATGTTAGCGTTGACATGTTTCTCAACAAATGCAAGTTGGTGTTGAGACTTTGGGTTCTTTCTGCCATTTTCCCAAGGATTAACCTCCTCTCTTAGAATAAAGAATCGCTCCTCAGGCTTTTTTTTCTCCTTGATATTGTCGCGAACAGAATCGACTGCAAAATGAAAAATGAAAAGCACGATGAGACACAATTGGTGTGGTGTAACAACACAATTAGCGTGGGGTAACATGTCTCACTTTGCGTCACTCAAACTTCTCATTGTCTGAAATTCAAATACCTAAGAAGTATCAGAGCGCTTTGCAACCGAAAAAAAACATTTCAGTCTTCCAAATTTTCACGAGTGTCTGAAGAATCATGGAATCATTTTCCCTTCTTAAGGCTCCGTAGTATATTGTGATTCTTCCGTCAACTTTCCATAGTCCCCCCCCCCTCCTTTACGCTCTGCTGTGCGTCGACCAATACCCCCTCCATTTCCCCTAAAAACCATGTGATCCCCCCAAAAGAGTTCTCCCTCCCCGGCGTCAACCCTTAAACTCCATGAGTGATCAAGACATAATTTCTCCTAACAATATCAATACAATATCAACCAGATAAGTGAAGAGAATAATGAAAACTATCAATTTGGGGATAATTAGTTGATCCAATACTAAATTCTCTCCACGTAAATTACGAAAATTGCATTGTTGACACTAAGGAGAATTACAAATTTGATCTGGCAGTTAAAGGTTTAAATAACGACGATTCCCAATAATCAATACCCCTGGGGGCACCTCCCGTAGGCATACACAACATAACGGCCGTGCGGTCAACCCCGCTCGTTACATCACACAACAGAAAACACCTTTCAGGCTGAAGAGGGCACTTATTCTAGGTCCTTTGTGCACCGTTAATGGAACGCTTGATTGCAGAAAAAGGAAAAGTCGTTTTTATTTTGGAAAGAACTCAACTATTACCTTTAATTCCGCATTCAACTTTACCATAACTGCTGAGGAAGCTCTCGGAAATTGGACACTTGACACAATCAGTGTCTCTCGTCTTTTCACAAGGCCTGAACACGCCGAAGCCTGGAGGACATTGGCTGCATTTCACACAAACAGTATTCGACGTTGAATTACAGGGATGGAACTCGTATTCATTGTGACCACATCTGGTGCAGCGCTTGCATGTTCCTCGGCGAGAAGGCTTATCGTTGTATGTTCCTTCCGCGCACTTTACACATCGTGACTCTTCATTTAGAGAGCAGAATGTAAAAGATCCTGCAGGGCATTTCTTGCAGGATGGACCGGACAACTTGAGATAACTACCGCTGAGCGACTGTAAGAAGACAGAAGGGGAACAACAACAAAGAAATCAATTTTTTAAGATTAAA